GCAACTCGCCTTTGAGGTCACACAAAGTTAATGCCTCTTTCCTCGAGTCGATATTTCAGTATGTACACAAAAGTATGCAGCGATGGAAGACGTGCATAGATGACAAGATGAAGCGTCCTTAGCATTATTTTGCAGAATTTTTTTTGATTTGTTTTGCAGGATTTATTTTAATTGAATTAATTTGCTCTGTTAGAGGGGGTCGTGCCAGGATCTCGATTTCGGGGGGGGGGTCGTACCTCTGCGACCACGTACTCGACACGATTTTCACCCTGGTCGAGTGTAAGCCATGGAAGATATGATACGATGAGATAAGAAGGTGCGGCTGCTTGATAAGAGGTGCACTCCAGAATGAAAACGGGACGATAACGATAACGGTATCATATCTAGCACGCTCTTATCGCACCCCTTTCCACATCGATAAGTCTTGGTTTTTGCTGAACGGAAGTGGATTTCGGCGCCTTATCACTCCGTTGATAAGGCGCCACTGCCACTGAAACTTCACGTGTTGTAACACTGGGCAGGACCTCTATCCACTCCAATACACAGCTTCCCTTATCGTTCCCATGAAAATTATCGTGACCACTTCCTTTAAATCATGATGTTCGTTGGCATGATATCGCCTGCCGGGATTAACACGTCTAAAAAATTATGATTAGCGAATATCTTTGATTATTCGCCACTGACGCTAGATCTAGTGCCGCCACTTCCACTCCTAGCCCAGCCAAAACCTATCGTAATCGTGCAGCATTCAAGCCATAGTTTCTAACGACTGACCACGTTTATGTCGAATCCCCGTTTCCAAGCAAGTCCCGAATCAAATTCAAAATGCTGCAGTTCCCATCTCGAAACAAGCTTTCAGGAATGAGGAATGAGAGGTTTCTCTTTTTTTCTCGAGATTGCACCACCGTCCCTCTGAAAAATTATATTTCAGATAAAGTTCAAGCACTTTTATGTGAATGCAGACGTATTCCGAATAAGTTGTTTTGACATAAATGGACAGGGACTCGTGGCGAATAATTTTGCCGGCCTTCGTAACAGTAGTATCGATGAGCTTGTCATAGAAGGTGAGCTATTCTTTATTCCATTCCCAAAGCGTGAACTGAAAACCTGGTCCCAGGAGCACCTGCCAAGCCTCCGCCTGTTGGCTTCAACGTTAGGAATCTGTCAATATCAATTCTGGGCTTCGACAGTACATCGAGAGCACAATTTTTCCGTCACATGAAAAAGACGTTAGCGGAAATGAAGGCGATGGAATTTATAACGTTTCAAGGCTACAACAAGGTGAACTGTCTTTGTAAAAAATACGGTATGCCTCCGCCTGCCTGTCCGTCACGAAATACCCATCCTACTATGTATAATTCGCTAGGTATGTCTGTGCGTGTGTATGTCTATGTGTGTGCGTCTGTTTGTCACGAAATTCATAGCGCACTTCGCTGCAACAGTGGAGCGCTGTATTTCAGTATGTTGTAGGGGGTGGGACGGGAACATATTTGATGAGGGCCAAGAAGTGATAACGGCTGAGAAGGACTGATAAGGAACGTTAAAATGCATGCGACTTAGATATGAAAGGGGTGTCCCAGCAGCAGTGAGGTGTTGGTTTCAACAAGTGATGTACTGGGTGGGACGATATATATTTGTTGGGAGACCGGAAGTGATTACAGTCGATATTAGCTGATAAGAGCTATTAGCGTGTGATCATTGGGGTCACCAGGATCGAGATCTTGAATAAGAAATACATTTCACTTCATTCAACTCATTTGCGTTGTCATATCAGCATCGAACTCTATTCGACCGCTACTCTGACCCAAGCTCCTAAAATGTATTATATTATGGATGTGCTTAAGAGGTGCGATTATTAATTTCGGTTATGTCTAAAACGCTATTTCTGTCTGGCTGTAGCGTCTGTCACCGTTGTGTCTTAACTAAACATCACCTGGAGGACCTGGGTCAAGTTAGAGGATGGAGCATGGGCCAAGATGTGCTCCAGAGGACACGTAAGCTGGATGGAGCTTGTGAGGAGACCACGATCCGAACTGAGCAATGCTAAAAATCAAAAGTTTCCAGTGTGGAAACATCTGCGACGGCCACAAAATTGTGATCCATTTTTTACAAAACGAACTCGAAGAAAAGAAAACGGGTGAGGAAGTGTTCCGTAGTGTGGAAGATTTTGCGTTGTGAGCTGACCCCTCACGGTCGCATCAAATAGTGCCAGAGCCGAGGATGGATGTCAAATTCATAATCAGGACCATTACAGAAACCCTCACAGGTATTCTTTCACTGAAACCTGGTGAAAAATTCGTGATGCCGGAACGACATAAAATGACGCCATTCGTAAGGTCAGCAGCCCGCCAGACTCGATGGCGAACGACTCAGGGGCGAGCGTTTCATGATCTTTCTCAAGAAGTGGCAAATCCTGCATAAAAAGGATAATAGCAGACACCCGTTGGAGGTCATGTACGATGGCAGTGCCACTATGTTCCGCTCCTGGTTAAGGATGACGTGTTGGGGCCTTGACCTGTTATAATACTAACTAGGCTTCTTGTAGACAGGCGGATCGCCTTTGAATGCATAGCCCACCTTTGCTGCTCGAGCCGACATGCTTATGCTACATTCTACAGAATATGGTTTCCGCTGAATACAAACTATGTGTAGTTTTCAACGTGGAATTCACAATCACCTTTAGGTTTGCAATTCGTTGATGCGGTAAAAATCCTTATTTTGGAGCTTCAAAAAAATTTGTAAATGATCTTCCGCCTCTTTTTTGGTATTCGTAAGGCCGTTTAGGAGGAGGAGAAACGCAGTTCCTCTGCTCCACTGTATTGGTATGTACATATGTATATCATGCGAGAAACCGCTTCGAAGGGCGTGTCACGTCCTGAAAGGCCTTTCAGTGAGCATGCCTGAAATGAATAGAGCTCCGCCAATGTCTAGCGGAGCGTCCCTCCAACTATGTAGATGGCTCTTCACACCAGAGCTCCTAACACTGTTTCATGGCTTTCTGTAGGCGGAAAAGCGGTGGAGATCAGGTATTAGCAACAGTAATAGTGCTGATTTCAGATAGGAGACAATAGTATGGTGAATCTTTTGCCAATTCTCGCGCCGCAAGTAGACGAAGGTATGAACGAAAACATCCACTTTCGGATTCTCAATGAATTTCAACATTTCGTTTCAGTATAGATAACAGAAAAGTTCATTTTGTAAAAGAGAATGTAGATAACAGTTTTTTCGGCCGACGTTCTCGACGATACCGTCTCCTTCGGAACATGGAAAGACAAGAGTCATTCAAAAACTACTCGTTCAAACACTATTTCGGCCTACGGATGTCACTCAACAGGATCGTAGACAACCACGGCGATGCCAGATGAACCATAAAAGATAACCTTTAGGAACGTCGACATGGATGGCCCACCTGTCAACCCAGAAGAGGGACCTTCTGAGGACTCTTCTTTATTGTGTAGACCAACCCCTTGAAAGGCCACTAGAGACCGAGCGCGAAGCTGACCTCTTGCAACCTACCTCCTATCTGTTTCCGTAAAAGCCCCGAACCGCATGTCAAAAGCTAGTCCGCAAGCGGCGCTAACTTTGTAGTAAGCACACACAGTCCCTTCCTATGGATTTTAGGGGTTTTCGGCATGATCCTAAGACCTCAAAGGTACGTGGAGCAGAAACGTGGGGTTCACGTGATAGTATCGTGAAAGCCCTACGAAACATGTATCTCTGTGATATCGCACCCTATGCTCTCCCAGCGGAGAGAAAATTGTATGGTTATTAACAATCTCGGTTACACTGAATTATTCTTAGATCTATACTGTATGGACGAAACTAGAAAACGAAGAAGTACCATTTTTCATGCGTTACCCCTTCAGGCCTCAAGTTCCCAAAACTGGACGAATCTGGAGATGTCAATATTCTACGATTCCATCCTTCACGTACGACGATCGATCCTGACACGATCAAATTCATATGGAAAGACATGAAAGGTGAGCCGTTTGCACACGATAGATTTAGTAAATTTTTCCCAGTATATCTCACGTTCAAGATGCTAGGAGCATATGAATGCTGCTGAAAAACAGTGAAATAGTAAGACTGAAAATAGTGAATTGGGATTCACTATTTTCAATCTTATCAATCCCTTGAATTGGGATACTCAATAGTGACTCAGAGGAATTGATAGGTTGAGTATGTTAAAGATAGCCCCTTGATAAGTTTTGCAGAAGTAACGAGGGGAGCTTTTGAGATGTGCAAGCTTTTACACTTCCAAAAGCCGCAACATCTTTCAAATGTTTTGCTCGGGAAAATCAAGTGGAAATATACAGCGCCGTAAAGTATATGATTTGCTCTATTCAACCGAAGCCATTCGATACGTCCACTACGTCCGAAATGATCCCTTTGTCCGAGTACCCCCATGTTATTCTCCACTGCACTGCCACTCTTTCGACAACCATAGCTTCTTTCATGATCAATGTCATACAAGATTAGAAACAACTTTGGATTTCATATTCGAGCATTGTTCTTCCCAATAATTGTTGGATTGTACTGCAAGATCAATTCAAGTAGTTACAGGGAACGATGATCGAAGCACAAAGATCAAACTCGCGCAGGGATGCGCCGTGCATTCGCATTCCTTCGCGAGTCGTGCTTTGTATCCACTTCCAGACAGGATATAGCTGCTCGGATCATTACTGATCCCGGTACTTACGATCTCTCTCCACTACTAAACCTTATAGGATGTCCGACGTCGAGGATTCTTCAACGCGCGCTTGACCATGTCATCAACCACTGGAGGGTAGAAGTGGTGAGAGGGGGTGTCGTACGGGTCTTAGAGTCAGAGAGGAAGTCGTGTTGGTCAAACCTTTTCGAATCAGGGCTCACCTTGTCAGTACCTTGGCTACCTGCATGTGAGGGCACTCTATGAGCCTGCATACCTGCAAATAAACCTGTACATGTGCACGTGGACATCCCATCACAAACGAATTTTGCTTTTTAAGAGAAAGGATGCCGAACGATGTTCAATGATGACATAATGAACACCGGACGAGGACTCTTTCACTATGGAACAATCAATTTCAAGCAAGGCGGGTGGTATTCTCTATAATACATTCAATCAATGCATCTGCGAAGAAGGTTCAGGTTCGAGGTTGAGCACTTCGCCGATCTTCCCCTTTGCGCTGGATTCTCTCGTAATTTCGTTTTGGAAGCAGGCATGTCTGAAACTTTCATCCCGGTCTTGATTCATCCGTAGTATCAGAGAAGCACATTCATTTGGCGCGGTGCTCACACTGAAGGCGCATGCGCAAATGAGCGCAGAAATGCTTTGGAGTGCTAATTTAGAAACCTGCCCACAGTAGTATTTAGCTAAGAGATTATGCGTTCCTGAAAAAGCAGAACTCAGGCAACCATGGGTTGTGTCACCTCCAGTTAGGGGAGGCCAGCACCGAAAAGTGATGTTGTGATATCAAAAGCGTAGGTAAGCGATTCATAGCGTAAGTAATGGCAGGCCACGGACGTCATCCGCGTGCCGCCACGATGGAGCGCATCCCCAGTGTGGTGGTTGGGTGGTGATGCGCTGTGTCCGGTATTGTGCGGTGAGGTAGCTCACAAAACTCTTTTACGAGTTGCCACGCGGAATTGAACCTCTGAAGTGCTATAGTGCACAGCTCAGTCTAGATATTTATTAATCTAACCGAACACTAACAATCAAATCTGCCGTCCGAATATTGGATGTTGATATTGGTAGCCGCCGGATATTGATTGTATTGATCGATGCCGGATATTGGGTATTGAAGGTGAAGTGCCGGAGATGACCAGATGGGAGGTCGGAAGACGATTGAGCCACTATGGCAATGAGCCCCGACTGAGGAAAGCTCTCGCTATTTATACCCCTCGGCCGGGGTCACCGGGATCGATGTTTGTCTGAAAGAATGCGGAGTTAATTGAAGTCTCACGTAAACAATGCTGGTATGTTGCGAAAATATGCGCTCTTCGCGTACTACGATGAGTCACTACCACTTATCGGCGGTCAGTGAGGCCAGCCTCCCATCTCGCTCGCTCGGTGACATCAAAGAACGATCAGTGGCACTGTCGAAGCTGCGGTCGATGAGGCCACGCCTTCCATCTCGGCTGGTTAGCGGCATCAAAGAGCAATCAGTAGTACAGTTGCATCTGCATAATGAAACAAAACAACAAACAACAACATTGCAAATATTGTAGCCGTTGCTACACTCCCGGGGCAGCAGCGATTTAATCTCTTGAAACATCATATAGTTCTTGTCTCACCTCTTCGATGGCATCCCTTACCTTATCTTTGGAGTTTGGTACAGTGCACAAAGCGCGATGATGCCCGTCGTCTCGCGGGATGAGGAAGTGTAATATCGTGTTTTCAACTACTGAACAGTACCAACATTTCTCTCTTCTCTTCTCACAGTTTCGCTCATCCTCACACCATTTCAGGCAGTAGAAACACCTTTTGCTCTTGCGTACTATGCGACGTCGTCGGTGGCCTTCTTGGACATCGGGACACGAGTCTGAGAAGTGTGCTCCTCTCCTCTCACAGAACGCACATTTCATAGGAGACTTGAGTCTCCAGGATCTGTCAGCAATCTTTCTAGTCGGAAGTAGTCGCAACCCTCTCTCTAGGTCCTCCAGATCTCTTTCGATATTCCTGAGAGAGCGTTTTCTTGAGCGATCCTTGGTACAACGGTAGCTACTGCCAGCCTGATCCATGTGTCGAGAGCTACTGCTTGTTGTACTTTTCTGGTCCCGATTCCCACGACTGTTGCTCGTTTCTTGAGGAACAGGTTGAGAGTGGACTTCTCTCTCCTCGTCGGAATTAACAGTTTCAGAGATCGATCGGAGTGAGTATTTGTCGTCCGTTGGTTCCTCGGCATTCGGACTTCTGTGAGGATTGTCCTGTGCCATTTCGACATCTGGAACTTCCTCCTTTACTTCTTTTTCGATGTTTTTTGGTTGACTCGGAAGGGTGCACGAGAAGTAGAGATTCTTTGAGGTCGTTCGATTCCTCTTTGGTGCAGTTGTCTTGGCGAAAGCTTTTGTTTTCTTCTCGAACCCTTTTTTCTGCTTGATCTAATTCGTACTCGATTTCTGAGACAATGCTCTCGACCTTCAGAATGTGCTTGTTAACTTTCAGCATGAATTTGTCCTTATCGATGTTCTTTTCCACTTTTTCTTTGTCCCATTTTTCCTGTGCCTTCCTGTCGATCTGTCCTGCCTTGAAGAGGGTCCAGTGCATTGAATCCAGAAGTAGAAAGCGTTGTGTAAGGCGTAAGAGATTGTCCTTCGTCGAAATTGCCATCCTGAGAAAGCGGCTAGCGATCAGGATGAGCTCTCCCGGGCGGGTATCGGAACATGTGGAGTTAATGAGATGACGCATCCAGGAAAGATCCAACTTCTCCGCTTGCTTGATTTGCTCTTGTACTTCCTGCCATGACAGAGATGTTTCCATTCTTAGGTCCAGTGATATTGGGTTCTGTGAAATATTGGCTAGGAAGCGAAAGTCCTTGAGATAGAAGCTTTGTTCCGGCATTGAGCTGGCAACCTTAAAAAATGGAAGAGATTACTGAATTCGGATACCAAATATGCGTATAATAAATAATACACAGATGCATACAATGGTTTAGCTCTAAGTTCTAATGATATTGATATGTACAGAGTATTGCCCCATTTTCCTCAATGCTGCTTATTGTGCATATGATATTGAGGTATTGATGGGATTTTCTGAAGGCATTTGATGAAAATCCACACGATTGATATGATCGTTCTTGGAATGGCGAGTAAGACCCATACCAAGATTCGTGATCCGCATGTCAGCAGAAATAGGTATGTAAGCCCGATAGCGATGACTAGTCCCAATATTGTAATGGCGAGTGTTTTATACCACTGCATAAACACTGTGGCGATATGGGGGAAATCTGGCCAGAAGGCATCCGATATTGCTATCGATTCTCCTCGAAGCCATTGCTCCACTAGTCCTTGGGCAGAGGCGGTGAATTTGAGAACGCCGGACACTTCAAATGAAGTGATTAACTGTCCGCAAGAAACAGAACAAAGAAATTGATTTCTCGCACGTGAGTGACTGAAGCGAAGGGTCGAAATGACTCCAGTGGTATTGCAAGGTATTGAGAAGGATGTGGCCTCGCAAACCACTTCAGCTTGGATATTGTTTTGGGAAGAAACGCAGAGTACTTGAGCTTTGCTACCCTTTGCACAATTGTAGCATCCTGTTAAGTTCTTCTGCAGTGATCGTACAGAGCGCGTTGTCCACCAATAGCTCGGTCCGTAGTGTGTCTTGGAATGACAATATTATCTCTGAAGTGACCATATTGGGAACTGTGGCCTGTACCTTCAACAGAGAATATTGCCGGAATGATATTGATGGGAATGTGCTGGTAGCTGATTTTTGATATTGTTGAACCAATCACTTATTGGAAAATCTCTGCATCTGCAATTAGCTGTAATCTCCGCAGGAAAGCATGTGCAATCTTCAAAGGCGTCACATGCTAAGGTATGTGCATTGCTAAAAGTGGAACATCTCAATGGGGGCAGCATATTGCTCTTCCAAAGAGCCGTGCTGTTTCCATCCGTTATAAATTTGGCATTGAGTAGCGGCAGGAGTGGAATCCCTACATTTGCCAAAGTGATACTGAACAGGTTCCATTTCGTGGGCACGTTAGGTAGGAGTAGCTTCGTGACTGAGGCGGTCTTCTTATGTATCCCGTCAGTGTGTGTGATTTCCACTTTAGCTGCTTCCGTCCACCTATTGCAATGGAAGACCTCGTACACTTTGTTATTGACTGGTTCTAAGTAGACCCGGTAGAATAGACATCCGGAACTTGGTAGGACGCAGCCGCACCCAAGTCCTCCGCAGGATTCGACACACGCTGTATTGCCGGGAAAATTATTCCCGTGTGCAAGCTCTGGTACCATGCTGGAGGCATTGATTGCTGCACATTTGTCTCCGGTACACGATCCTTTCATTGGGCAACGCTTGCTGTCTACAACTTTGTGTATCGTGTCCCTAGTAAAGAGGTCAGTTTCTGATTCGCATTGGAGAAGTAGCGCCTTCCATTGCATCCGGATTTCATGAACAGCCGTGTTGTTCTGTAACAGACGGAGACACGCCACACGTTTGAACGGATTGATCTTGAACACCTCTGAAAGCTGTATTTGACAGACGGCTTGCGGCCCATTCGTGCACACTGTGGAATAGTGTGAGAAGAGATTGATCTGTTGGCACTGTTGGGATAACTGCATCCGTACAGCGAATGATATGGCGATGATTTCTATGAGACGTCGTCTCGAGAGGTTGCCCCGCTTCCGTGCTGATAGTCGGCATCGGTGCCTCAGGAACTTGAATGTTTTCCAAAGGATGCGAGCTACTATCCGAAGTGGTTGCCCTAGAACCAGTGGGACGTAGAGGAAGACGTAACATCCTGTTATGAAGCAGTACAAAATGACTGCTGTCGCAAATATTGCACGTTTAGGCCAGCATTCAGGATTGAAAATGTTTGCCGAACAGAACGTACATGATATTGTTTCGCAGAAAGGACCGCTAGGACATAATACTTCCATAGTGTTGACTGAATTACGGTCGACGAACTTCCATTGGACTAGATGTTCATGCAAAATGATGTCTGGGGGGAACGTTACGTTCTCGTTCAACTGTGGCTTCTCATAGTGCAAGCAATATTGATCCGCACAAATTTCGTATGCAGTTCGATCTCCTGAAGTGAGCTGTACTCCAGTCGGTGTGCATTGCATAGATCGTATCGACGGAGCTACGGTGGCTAGGTTTTCTGTGGCGTTGAATCCTGAGAGGGAAAGGATCAATGCAATCTGCAACATTGTGGTTATCGAATTTATTGACCTTGTTGAATGCCCTGTTTGCATTGCGTTCTCTATCCTGCCTTCAGCATAATCTACTGGTTTTCTCTTGCGAAGATTGTACCGTGGCAATATTTGTTGTCGGTTATCTTCCGCGAGTGAATCAGCTTGAGGTAGGATTGATGCCCCATCGCGTTTGTCTTCTTTTGTTGACTGCTCCATAGGTTCTGCTGATTCGATAGGATCTTCGTCCAG